TAAAAATGTCTGATTCTTAAGAAACCAGAACATCAAACCCTCATGTCAAAGAAATGTAATAAAGGTTTGTTAATTTACACTTTACCAATACAGATTTAAGAGAACACAAATACAACCATTATTAGACAAACGTGCTAAAATGATGATGATATATATTCACATTTGAAGCTGGCGTGCTGTCAGGTGGTATTTTTGCTTTAGGAATTAATGAAAGTAGGAATAGGTCATCAAAATGCTGATTAGGTTTTTTCCCTGCCTCAACAAATTAATTAATTGCTTAAATTGTTTTCCTCTAAACCTTAATTGTTGTGAATTAACTCCAAAAGAGCAAAGATGTTAAATTTGATGGAGTAACACCATCATCGTAAACAGGCTCAGTACTTGTTGACATCTTAGTTTCTGTGACCCACACATATATAGGCGTGTTGTTCCCTGAAGAGTACATGTTCCCAGAAACGAGTCGTGACCTTTGGACGCTGTTACCGTTCTGCCGCGCGAAGGGGGGGAACGTATCTATGGTACCGCCGCCGTCGTCGTCATGCCACCGCCGGGCACGGGATTTTTGTTTCACAACAAACTTTCTAGAAACTGTTGCCACTCAAAAACATCCCATCATCTCATGTCGCATAGCTGTGGAGCCGCTAATAGGTCAGTTACTGTAGGCGACGCACATCCAACACCTCCTGCTGTGGAAATCTGAAATCTGATCCCAGTGCTGCTGCGAAGGGCACCTTTCCTTACCACGGTGAATAGAAGCAGAGGAGACACAGAGACCGAACACTCCAGCTTCTGTTGTCCGACGGCTACTCGGAGGTATTGTCTGCCCCAGTTGCCATGGCAACTGCGGGAGCACCTCAGGTAGGTAGGGCTGCCTTTCTGAGTCGAGTGAGGATGTGCTGAAGAGGAGCGGAGGCTTTGACGGGTCTGGAGCCTTAGCTGAGACACGAGGGCTCGCAGGTCCGGCTCAGTATCAATCAGTGAAAACACCAAACAGCATCTTACAAATCAAAACCTGAGATCTCTCAACATTTAAGACTTTCTCTCAAAATGTTTGTCGATACGTCTCAAACGTTTTCTCTGTTCACACGAGCGTCATAATGTTTTCGATGATCAAAACAGACGCAAATTAATTTAACTGATAAATGAAATGAGTGTTTGCAGCTCTGCATGCTGACGTTACCATTGTCACTGTCTATGAGGTTTTAATTTGAGAACTAAATGAACGTTCAGAGACTAAATGGCGCCGCAGAGGAAGCAGAAATATATTTCAGTGTGGTGGTGTGAGCCGTTGATGGCTGTCGGAGGAGAGTGGACGATGGCAGCAGGTTCCAGCTGCAGTGTTGTGGTCAGTCTGTGGGAGTGGGGGCAGGGATGCTGCAGACAGAGGTTGGGCGTGGAGAGGAGGACAGATTTTTAGTGATGGTTGAAGGCCTTATCAAAGTCTTATGTGGCTGGAGTTTACTGCTGTGTCAAGGTTTTTCCTCCGCCTCAGCGCTTTATCTTCATCATCCCTCTCTCTGCTGAGTTGCTTTGAGAACCAGAATTGAAGGGGAAAGCTGTGTGATTTGAAATTCTTGTTATTCCTTTATTTTTTTGTACATGAAAATCTTTTTAAAAGCTTAAACAATCGTTTTGCAGAATCACATCCAAGCCATTTATTTATCCATCTTATGTGAGGCTTTGCTGCTCTGCTCTGGTTTACGGTGTTAAATTAGCGTCTTGGCGATTTGATATGTTCAAAGAAAACAAGTCATTTCAAAATGTCACCTGGGTCTGAGAACTCGTCATTTTTCTGTGTGTGTGTGATTTAAGAAAGAGGAACGTGCTCATTTTAAAAATCTGTGTTTGGTGAAGAGGACACGTTTTTTGATAGAAGATTAGGAAATTGGTTGAGTGACAAAATAAATGAATAATCTTGACAGTCAATTAGTCAATCGAGTAGTTTTTTAAGCAGCTTCTGCGTCTGTGGATTGCTGCCTGTCTTTGTCATGTGTGATAATAAATCAAATACCTTATTGTGTTTTCTGAAAGTTGTTTTGCGCTGCGGCCTTGGTAGAACTAATATTCAGTTTCCCGTGTCCTGTGAGTATCTCAGTATATTTCAGTGTTGCTATAAACATGTTATTTAATGACTCTGATTTCAATGCTTTGGTGGCTCATTGACAAATTTTGATTTGATCACTGAAGACACTCAAGTGTTCATTCATTGTCCTGCGGCGTCAGCGGACAGGACTCGTCAACAGGGACAGGAAATAAACAGCAGGTCACTCTGCTTCCTTCCCATCCACTGGCAGACTATTGCACCTGGGTCATGTCCTGAGTCTCTGGTCCTAATGACTGTGAATGTCCAGAGACGGGCAGCGCCGCATGCCTGGTCCTTCTAAATATAGCAGCACTGCCTACATGTACGCAGCAGTTACTGCCCAAACACCCTCCCTTCAGTCTCGCTGCTTCTCTTCTTCTGTGTTCACACTGTTAAGATGATTACATTAGATAATTGTTCTTACTCTTCTGAGATATCTGTACCCACAGTCTAATAACGATGTCGTATTTTGATTTTGCCAACCGCTTGCTATTAATGGACGTCTCACTCCTGTCACAGTTTAATTGCTGTTGTCGCAGCGTTGACAGATTTCAGAGCTTCTTCTTTATCTGTTAGTCTGGGTGATAAAGTTAAATAACATTTCCCAGAATCCAATGTGACTTTACTTTACAGACAGTCAACAACTCAATGACGTTCAGTTTGAAATGAAAGAAAATAGAAAAGCAGCGGTAGTTGCGTGTCACATGACGTCCTCTGGATTTGAATGTTTACCGTGAAGATATTTTTTGGAATTTCGGAAATTAAATGATGCCTGAATGGAGCTTTTCATAACGACATCTGTGTCACGTGAAAAGAAAGAGAATATGTTTGACTGAATTTCTTTGGGCCAACTTTTCAGACTTCATTCCTACAGAAAGTGTCCAACATGAAACAAGTATTTCAGTATGATCCTCTTACTTTAGAACAGATCCAAGATTTTCTCTTTGTCTTTTCTGTCTTCGTCCCTCGCTGTCTGTGGCTTCATGTTGATGTTGCGTTTATTTACCTTCACCTCCTCACGTATGTCAGTTCGTCTTTACGATGTGGCCTTCGTGGACTGTCATCAATGTCAGCTCTTAAAGCAGCTGAGTTTACTCTCATGATAGTGACACATTCATGACCTTTTTCATTTCCTCCTGAGTGAAAATAATGCCCCATTAAATCTTTACAACAAATACAAGATTGAATAAAATTAATTTATCATGTCGTAGTTTCTTTTTGCAACATTAAAAAACTACAAGCTCTATTTAAAGATCTGAATGAGGCTGTTAGACAAATGTTCCAAATGAAAAGTTGGCTCAAAAGACACTTGGTCGACGAGAGAGACGCCACAAGACCGGTGAAGGAAATCACGAAGGTGCTGAAGTGGACTAATCTGTCATTAGCTGTGTGACGTCAAGGTCAGCACCGTGTCCGTAGGGATCAGAGCCAGGTGTCAGCAGATATATCTATATACCTGTCCTGGCTAACTGCTAACACAGTACTGAGAGGGGGGGGGGTTGATCTAACGTGCGACAGACGTGAAAAATGACCTCACCTGAATAATGAGGAGATATTTTCCAGATTTTACCCGGAGGTCGTTTCTGAAAACAGCTTAACAGATTTTTATTTCTGAGGGTAAAAATAAATCAGTGGATCATCATCCACCTCATGATAACAAAACCACTAATCAAATGTGTTTTCTCTTATTTCCCTCTCAGGTCATCTGGTGAGGATCGCTGCAGGTTTTAGGTGGCGGAGTGGCAGACAGCGCCACCAAGGTGTGCAGAGTGGGACTGCATCCCGTCTCACCACCCGACAACCAGCTTCCCGGAGTGCCGCTGCCAGATGGACTGCGAACTCTGAGCGCAGAGCGAGTCAGGACAGAAATCAACCGAGGAGAGGAGCCGGGGGGAGAACGCTCACCGGGGCAGGAAAGGGAGGGCACTGGTTGGGAGAGGAGAGGACGAGAGGCTCCACGATGTCGTCAAACAGGACCCAGAACCCCCACGGACTGAAACAGATAGGCCTGGACCAGATATGGGACGACCTGCGGGCTGGAATCCAGCAGGTGTACACACGGCAAAGCATGGCCAAGTCGCGCTACATGGAACTCTACACGTATCCTGTGTTTGACGCTGTGTGGCTGTGATTGTAATCTTGAGCGTTGTATAGGAGTATTCCTCCACCAGTGCTAAAATGATTCATTTACCTCAACAAAAGATAATCGCCACAGTTCACTGATTCTAAGATGTTTTTATTAGTACAGTCAACATACATATATATACAGATATAGATCTGTAGCAGACAAACTCCAGAGAATGTCAGCACATCGAGGTCCAGACTTTTAGTTTACCTTTCACATATGAAGAACACAGAAGGAGATTCTCTGGTCAGACGCCTCCACAGGAGGGAGGGAGGGTGGGAGGGAGGGAGGGAGGTGCAGCAGGCAGGACATGATGTATTCATTCTGCACAGAGATCATTTTCGTTAACAGAACATCAGCAGTGCATTTCCAAAGCTTACTACATGTGTGACTCTGTTTCATCCTGAGATATGTGTTCCTCTTTGTTTGCCATCATCGCGCCCACTCGGTGAATCCTCCAGAGAATCTGTTGTGTTCTCACATGTGCTCACTCAGGCCTTATGCAGAGTTGTTACCAGAGGAGCGGCAGGAGAAACTCCAGAGAAACTCCAGAGAAACTCCGCAGCAACTGACTCAAACATTTGCCTTTTCACATACAACCGCTTTGGATCATTTCAGGAGATTATCCAGAGTTCAGTCTATATCTGAAAGTATCTTGTGTATCAGAGAATGTCGGCTTTGTAAGATGTTATAAATATAAAACATTTACGAACCAAACCTTAAAAAGAAGAGAAAATAACTGAATCGCTCTCAAGTCTCAAGCTTTAAAAACTAAATGTTAATGATTTGTGATTATTCACTTTATCTACAGTATAATTTATCACCCTGAAGCTGATGCATCATCATCTGACCGACCAGCTTCATTTTAAAAGAAAGCTGCAGTGATCCGTCCATCAAATACAAATAATCTGTGTGCTCAGGTAATGAGTAACAACAAAAGAACATCCAGCGTTCAGAGTCCTGAAGACAGGAAACAAAGCTCATTTATACATGATGTGTAATTACTGATCAGCCTCACTGATCTTCTGTCAAAGCTCTTGTTTATTGTAGACAGTTTTTTAACAGTTTCAGTCAAAGTCAACCTTTAACTTCAAACTCCATGAACACAAACAGTGAAGTCGCTGTGAGATGATTTTCTCTGAGGCTTCGTTTTGGTGTTTGACAACCTGGCTTCCTCCTCTGCACTCTTCAGTAAAGTTCTCCAGTAAAGTTCCACGTTCTCCTGTCAGGCAGAAAGAACAACACAGATTTAAACTATACACAAGTAAGACTTTGTGATAATCACTTTTTAGCGAGCACCACTGGTCACTGATGACAACAAGGTTTGTCGTAGTTATACTGTGACGTTCTCCACAAAGGAAACTTTGTTTTTTCATCCAACAGGAAGAACGTCAGCTTTATTTATGAATTCGTTGACGATATAGTTTCAGTGTTAACTATTAACTAACACTCTAACATCTGGCTTTGTCTGCAGTGTGAACGGCAGTGATGTAAACATTACACCCGGGTTAACAAAATACTCTTTGGCTGTACAAGAGCTATTTGTGCGAGCACCCTCTATAGCATGTATTGTGTTTCTGTGTTTGTTCCTTAAGCCTCCCCTCAGACATGTATATAACTATTGTACTAGTGTCCACCAGTCCAGCCAGGGCAGGGGCTCGGTGCCTCCGGCCAAGCCCTCCAAAAAGTCTACCACTCCAGGCGGGGCTCAGTTTGTAGGCCTGGAGCTTTACAAGCGACTCAAGGAGTTCCTGAAGAACTATTTGACCAGCCTGCTCAAGGTGAGTCCACGCACTTTAACGTTTTGACGACATCACATCCCACATCACAAGTACTTATTTCCTCTTTCCCTTCCTTCTTCCTCCTCTTTCCCTTCAGGATGGCGAGGACTTAATGGACGAGTGTGTCCTGAAGTTTTACACCCAGCAGTGGGAGGATTACCGTTTCTCTAGTAAGGTCCTCAATGGGATCTGTGCCTACCTCAACCGCCACTGGGTCAGACGAGAGTGTGATGAGGGACGCAAGGGCATTTATGAGATATACTCTGTAAGTCATGTTTTCATGAATACGTGTCCTCTTGAAACCTTTGTGTCGATGAATCATCTGTTCAGAATCATATTGTAAACACGGTATTTTCACTCACAACCAGAGTCTGACACAACATGATACTGACCCTGTTGTGTTTGTTAAAGTCTGTGTTTTACAATGACACAACTGTAAACACACACATAGGAGACAAGCTTTTATTAGAACAATTCCAGTTTACACCAGCACGTGCATGCCCAGTGTACGTGAGCGGCCACGTGACGTGCACTTATTAGGTGTGTTTGTATGGACAGAGCTTAAAACTGCTTGTGTGGACAGAGGTAGTTTTATTTGTTGCAGCCTAAAGTCTTGAATCTGTCTTTTTTTTTTTTATTGCCCCCCCCCCCCCCAGCTGGCACTTGTGACCTGGAGGGAATGTTTATTCCGACCCCTCAACAAACAGGTGTGTGCTGTTTCTTTTTATAGACGTGAAGTGAGAAAAAGCAAAGTGGCGTAACTCAATTAACAGATATTCAACAATGGATTGTTTGTCAGTCAAGTGTTCGCAGGTTTAATCTCACCTCAACCTTCTTATTACATCTGCTTCAATTTGTACATTATAATTAACACGAAGTTCTGTCCTCAGGTAACAAATGCTGTGCTGAAGCTGATAGAGAGAGAGAGGAATGGTGAGACCATTAACACCAGACTGATCAGCGGTGTGGTCCAGTCCTATGGTAGGTCCCTGTGTCCTGATGAGACGCTAGAAACAAACATCTGTTACAGGCAGATGTTAAAGAGGAGGCATCAGATCCACCCATCCTGTTTCTATAGCTGTTTAATTCTCATGAGTCGATACTACGTCTGAAATCTACAACACAACTTTACTATGAAAACTTAACAAACGAGATATTTACTGTCTCAGGCTAACGTTTAACCCTCGTTGATGATCACAGCATTAACCCTTAAGATTTAGTTTGAAAACTAAACGTTCTGCATCTCTCTGGCCGTGAGCGTCCTTGTGACATAAATTAAATCCCATGTCTGCAATATCAGAATAAACGGAGGCACATGAGCGTCTGCTGTTCACGTGTCTCGTCCGTGTTTGAGTAGATTTGACTTTTACTGGTGGGATTCGTGAAGTTGCTCATTCTGCTTGTATAATCAGTGACACTTTGTAGTAGATGAAAGTTTTGAATATTTCCTCACCTCTCGTCCTCCAGTTGAGCTGGGCCTGAACGAAGAGGACGCCTTCGCCAAAGGTCCGACGCTGTCCGTCTACAAAGAGTACTTTGAATGTCAGTTCCTCACTGACACGGAACGTTTCTACACACGCGAGAGCACAGAGTTCCTGCAGCAGAATCCTGTCACTGAGTACATGAAGAAGGTAGGCAGTCATCCCAGTGAGGAAGGAATGAATGGGATGCATTTGAGACCTGTTACTGTCCGACTGTGTCCTTGGAGTAAAAGTTAAACTGAATAAAAGCTTGCCACTGAAAAAAGACGGTTGCCTAGAGACGGTGTTTTGTTGTTGTCAGGCGGAGGCTCGACTGCTGGAGGAGCAGAGGCGTGTGCAGGTTTACCTCCATGAATCCACCCAGGATGAACTGGCCAGAAAGTGTGAGCAGGTCCTCATAGAGAAACACCTGGAGATCTTCCACACCGAGTTTCAGAACCTTCTGGACGCCGACAAGAATGAAGGTGAACCTGCGATTTGAGCTCAGCGTGTGGATCGTGATATTCTTTACTGTGTCGAGGAACAGTTGATGAAGCTCAGGTTGATTTAACGGCTGCTCTGAGCTCCAGGTTCTAATCATTTACACATTTAAACAGTTATTTTGCATTTGTTATCGTTTGGTATCAATTTATGTGTTTGTCAGTTTTTCTTCCGACCGCGTTTCCTTTTTCTATGGATTCGTTTTTGAAGCGACGGCTTCATTCAAACGCTCTGTTTTTCAGACCTGGGCCGGATGTACAACCTAGTGTCGCGGATCACGGACGGTCTGGGTGAACTGAAGAAACTTCTCGAGACTCACATCCACAACCAGGGCCTGGCCGCCATCGAAAAATGTGGAGAGGCCGCACTCAATGTACGCATCACCTTTTCACCTCGAACACTAAATCTCACTGGTTTACTTTAGCCCGTCGACTGATTAAAGCTACAGCTACCTGCCGCAGAGCGGACGTAGACAGTTGAGTGTAAGTTAAACGTTAAAATAAGAAGAGAGCGTCACCCTCGCTCTTGTGGTTCCAGGTACGTACACAAATGTACACGAGAGATTTCTACACGATCATTTTAAAGCTGCTTTCAGGAGTTCTTGTTCATGACACGTTACGGCTGAAGGTTTAACTGCATCATTGTGTGGGTTAATCACTGTCTCTCTCACTTTCTCAAGGAAGATTATCATTCAGATATCTTAAAAGCTCATATCAGTAGGAAACCTGAAGATGTCAGGATAGAGTTGGAAAAAATACTTGAAGATTTAGTTTCAGTCATAGTGTCAGTATACAAGGATTACAGACGGGTGAGACGAGTGAAGATGTTAAAGTAAGGTTACCGTTTCTAAAAGAGTAAAGATGCACTCAGTTCTTATGGACAAGTTGGGATTGAGCCAGAACGTGTGTATGTTACTTCCAGGACCCCAAAGTGTACGTGCAGACCACCCTGGACGTCCATAAGAAGTACAACGCCTTGGTCATGTCTGCCTTCAACAATGACGCCGGCTTCGTGGCGGCGCTCGACAAGGTCGGTTATCCTACGAGAATCAAACGGGGCAGGAAGCGCTCAGAGAACCTCGGGGACATGTGACAAATCACAAAGCGAGATGCGCTAACTGTTGAACGTCCCTCTGTTTGCAGGCGTGTGGACGATTCATCAACAACAACGCCGTCACCAAAATGGCTCAGTCGTCCAGCAAATCTCCCGAGCTGCTGGCCAGATACTGCGACTCTCTGCTCAAGAAGAGGTGGGTCACACGTGTTCATCCATTTGTGGACCCGATGGTGTGATTTTAATTTTTCCATTTTCCGACGAAGTGATGAAAATCTTGAATTCATTGTTTGTGTTTGTTCTTTTTTTTCCCTCTTCAGCTCCAAAAACCCAGAGGAGGCGGAACTGGAGGACACACTCAACCAAGTGGTGCGTGACACGTCTACACCATCACAGGTGTCAGCGGCTGAGGTCCGCTGCCTGTTCGCATCACGTTAACGCTCATTTCTCTGCTCCCGCCTCCAGATGGTTGTGTTCAAGTACATCGAGGACAAAGATGTTTTCCAGAAGTTCTATGCGAAGATGCTGGCCAAACGTCTGGTCCATCAGAACAGCGCCAGTGACGACGCGGAGGCCAGCATGATCTCCAAACTCAAGGTCTGATTCACGGACGTGCAAACGACTCGTGTTGCTGAATCTCTGCAGTTTTTAAAAGCTCACACCGGACGTGGTTTTGTTTTGTCCCTGCAGCAAGCATGTGGGTTCGAGTACACGTCCAAGCTGCAGCGAATGTTCCAGGACATCGGCGTCAGTAAAGACCTGAACGAGCAGTTTAAGAAACACCTGACCAACTCCGAGCCTCTGGACTGTGAGTAAAGACGAGACCTCAGTGTCATCACGTCTGTAGATCTCTGATCAGTTCTTCATTTAAAATCTAGTATTTTATTATTTATCATATAACCTGTGAGTTATTTCTCTGTGAAACCACATGAACACTTGTGTGTGTGTGTTGCAGTGGACTTCAGTATCCAGGTTCTGAGCTCTGGCTCTTGGCCTTTCCAGCAGTCCTGTACCTTTGCTCTGCCCTCTGAGGTAAGACTCATCCAGCAGAGACGCTCTTCAGCCTCAGGTGGTTCAGTGGAGAGAGAGAGAGAGTGAATTTTAACCCTTTGACACCTGAAGCGTGTTTTAGAAACCTGAGTGTTTTCTGAAGAGCTCTCACAAACACCAACATTTACAGAAACTTTAATTTCTCATAGAAACGTTGAAACGTCAGCAGGGAAGTTAGTCAAACGTGTGGCTTGACAATTCTTCAAACTTCCCTGAGGGGACGCAGGAGTAACCACCGTCACTCACGTTGTTCACGGGCTTTTCTCGACGATTAAAGATGTTTCATGGTTATTTTTGAAAGATTTCATATTCAAATTCATGAGAACAACACAAAACCCTGAGACTTTTTACATCTGTGTTTTCGCCGGAGGCCTCGCTCCACCTCTGTTCATGTCGTGTCTCTGTGCTCGCAGCTGGAGCGAAGCTATCAGCGCTTCACGGCGTTCTACGCCAGCAGACACAGCGGCAGGAAGTTGACTTGGCTCTATCACCTGTCCAAAGGAGAGCTGGTCACCAACTGCTTCAAGAACAGGTACGGTCCTCATGTCATCGACTGCAGATAAAGAGGACAAAATGTCTCATTGCCCCCTGGTGGCTGGCTACAGCGTAGGTCGTAAGCCCTGCCTCCTCCATGTTAGCCGATGGGCCGTTCATCCTGAATCTGTTGTTCGCAGGTACACGCTGCAGGCCTCCACCTTCCAGATGGCCATCCTGCTGCAGTACAACACGGAGGACAGTTACACCGTCCAGCAGCTCACCGACAGCACACAGATCAAAACTGTGAGCTCCACTTTTCACTGTTTAAACGGATCCTGGCAGATTTTAAATCCAAACTCAAGTCTTGTTCCTCTGGAGCCGGTGACACATTTCTGAACAAACCATGTGTGTGTTTGGTTTTCAGGATATTTTGGTTCAAGTTCTGCAGATTTTGTTGAAATCGAAGCTGCTGGTGAGTAAAACATTCGAAAATCATCTTTATATGAAGCAAGGTTTTATTTTATTGTGAAAGGATTTGACCTGGACATAATTGTGGGTAACAGGTCGGACTCTGTTCCAGAAATAAAGACACTTTCGTCCTGACGTGTAGTTTTCTTTTTGAGCATTGGAGGGTGCCAGAGGAGAGGTTTATGTTCGGACTGACGGAGCGTCCACTGTCTCGTTCAATGAAGATTTGTTCCGATGCTGCAGTGAATCAGTTTTAATGTGTTTGAGTTTATTAAATGAATGTCTCTCTCGTGTCTCTTTCAGGTGATGGAGGACGAGAACGCCAACGTGGACGAGGTGGAGTTCAAACCCGACACCGTCATCAAACTTTTCCTCGGATACAAGAAGTAAGAAGCCACTTGGAGTCACAGTTGAACGAAGCTCGTGTCTTTAATCACGTGATTTGTTCACCAGCGAAGTTTGAACTTTGTTTGTTCGTCCGCAGTAAGAAGCTGAGGGTGAACATCAACGTCCCGATGAAGACGGAGCAGAAACAGGAGCAGGAGACGACTCACAAGAACATCGAGGAGGATCGAAAGCTCCTCATCCAGGTGACATGCCCCCCCCCCCCCCCCCCCCCCCCCCCCCCCCTCAACGCCACGGCAACAAGAGAACGTTGATCCCAAAGACGAGTGATTTAACGCTGATGTGTGTTCACAGGCTGCGATCGTGAGAATCATGAAGATGAGGAAGGTCCTGAAGCACCAGCAGCTCCTGGCCGAGGTTCTGAACCAGCTGTCGTCCCGATTCAAACCCAGAGTCCCCGTCATCAAGGTCTCACACACACACACACACACACACACACACA